ATTTCGAACATGGATTGTAAGAAAACTCAATGATATGCAAGAGAAAATGGATACCCAATACAAAGAAACCACACAAAAAAACTCCAGGACTTGGAAGACAAATTCACTAAAGAAATTGAAATATTAAAGAAAAATTGAACAGAACTTCTGGAAATGAAGATTTTATTCAAGGAATTACAAAACACAGTGGAAAGCCTCAAGAATAGGGTAGATCAAACAGAAGAAAGAATCTCAGGGATTGAAGGTAACACCTTTTAATTAAATCAGTCAGTCACAGAGATGGAGCAGAGAAATAAGAGAAAAGAGCAAAGCCTACAAGAAATGTGGTAATATGTAAAGAGACCTAACATGAGAATTATAGGCATCCCTGAGGGTGAAGAAGAAAATACACAAGGGTTGGATAAACTATTTAAGGATATAATGGAAAAAAAATTCCCTAGCCTTGTTAAAAATCTAGATATCCAGGTACTGGAAGTTCAAAGTACTCCTGGGAGATCAATTGCAAACAGGAAGACACCACGACACAGTGCCCAAAAAAACAGGAAAGAGGCACTCCTATGATCTGTAAGGTGAAATAAGCAGGTAACCTAAAATGGAAAACCCATCAGACTAACTGCAGAATTCTCAACTGAGACCTTACAAGCCAGAAGAGACTGGGGCCCCATTCTCACTCTTCTCAAACAGAATAATGCCCAGCCTAGAATCTTATGCCCTAAAAAATGAAGTTTCTTATATGAAGGAGAAATAAAGACCTTCTCAGACAAGCAAAGACTGAGGGAATTCATTAAGACAAGACCTGCCCTCCAGGAAGTTCTTAAAACAGCATTACATATCGATTAGCATAATAAACACTCACCAGTATAAAATCATCCAAAAGCTAAAGGCCAAAAACAAGATACCAAAATGGTTCAAGAGAGAAAAAAAAGCAACAAAGTTCAACTCAACAGGATGAACAGAAATCTACCCCATTTATCAATTCTTTCAATAAATGTGAATGGCTTGAACTGCCCACTAAAGAGACATAGGCTGGCGGAATGGATAAATATACAAAAGTCAAGTATCTGCTGTCTTCAGAAAACACATCTAACCCACAAGGATGCATTCAGACTCAAGGCGAAGGGGTGGAAAACAATATTCAATATAAACAGAAGCCAAAAGAGAGCCGCCATAGCAGTTTTGATTTCAAATACCTCCGTCTTCAAATAACAAAGGTGATGAAAGACAAAGATGGTCACTATATATATGGTGAAGGGTACAATTGAACAAGAAAACATAACAATTCTAAATATTTATGCACCTTACTCAGGTGCACCCAGATGCATAAAGCAAATCTTACTTAATCTAAACAAAATGATAAACAGCAATACCATAATAGCCAGGGACTTCAACACCCCTCTGACAGACAAGGACAAATCCTCCAAACAGAAAATAAACAAAGAAACAATGGACTTAAGCAGAATTATAGAACAAATGGGCCTGACTGACATTTACAAAACATTCTACCCCAAATCCACATATATGTTTTTCTCATCAGCTGATGGGATAGTCTCTAAGATTGACCATATCCTAGGCCACAGAGCATCTCAACAAATTTTAAAAAATAGAAATTATACCATACATCTTCTCAGACCCCAGTGGAATAAAATTATAAATCAGTTTCAATAGAAACTTTCATTTCTACACAAAGTTGTGGAAAATAAATAACCATCTGCTGAACAATTATTGTGTTGAGGAGGAAATTAAGATGGAAATCAAAAGATTTTCTGAACTAAATGATAAAGGAGACAAAAGTTATTAAAATCTGTGGGACACATCTAAAGCAGTCCTGAGAGAAAAATTTACATTCATAAATGTCTACATCCAAAAGACAGAAAGATCACAAATCAACACTCTAATAAATCATCTCAAGGAACTGGAAAGGGATGAGCAAACCAAGCCCAAACCCAGCAGAAGAAAAGAAATAACAAAGATCAGAGCAGAACTAAATGAAATCAATAACAAAAAATCTAGAGGGAAGAGTAATAATAATTATTACTCTTAGTAATAATAAGTAAGAAATAATTATTTCAAATAGTTGTTTATTCGAAAAAATAAATAAAATTGACACACCTCTTGCTACATTAATGAGAGGCAGAAAAGAAAAGACTCTAATAAGCTCAATCAGGAATGAAAAAGGAGAAGTTACAACTGATACCACGGAAATACAAAATATCATCTATGAATACTATAAAAACCTCTATACACATAAACTTAATAATGTGGAGGAACCGGAAAAATCCTTAGAGACACAGCCTCCCTAGGCTCAATCAGAAAGAAATAGAATTCATGAACAGACCAAGTACTGAAACAGTATCAAGTACTGAAATTGAAGCAGCAATAAAAAAATCTTCCTAAAAAGGAAAGTTCCAGACCAGATGGTTTCACACTCGAATTGTACCAGACCTACAAAGAACTGGTGCCTATTCTGCAGAAATTATTTCACAACATCGAGAAGGAAGAAATCCTCCCCAACATGTTTTATGTAGCCAACATCACCCTGATATCAAAACCATCACCCTGATACCCAGATACCTGTTGTGAAAGGACATAACAAAAAAAAGAAAACTACAGACCAATATCCCTTATGAATATAGATGAGAAAATTCTCAACAAAATCCTAGCAAAGCAAATTCAGGTGCTTGTCAAAAAATAATCCACCACGACCAAGTGGGCTTTATCCCAGAGATGCAGGGATGTTCAGCATATGCAAATCCATAAATGTAATTCACCACATAAATAGAAGGAGAAACAAAGATCATATGATCCTCTCAAGAGATGCAGAAAAAGCATTCAACAAAATTCAGCACCCTTTTATGATAAGAATGCTTAACAAAATAGGCATGGATGGGACTTACCTGAAAAGGATAAAAGCCATATATGACAAACCATAGCCAACATCATACTTAACGGGGGAAAACTGAAAGCATTCCCACTTAGAACTGGACCCAGACAAGTTTGCCCTCTATCACTGCTCCCACTCAACTTAGTGCTGGAAGTCCTAGCCAGAGCAATCAGACAAGAGAAGGAAATCAACGGCATCCAAACGAGGGCATAAGAAGTCATACTATCACTTTTTGCTGACGATATGATCTTATATTTAGAAAACCCCAAAGATTCTGCCAAAAGACTACTGGAATTGATAAACAAATTCATCAAAGTCTCAGGTTACAAAATCAATGTACAGAAATCAGTAGCATTCCTGTACACCAACAACAGTCAAACTGAGAACCAAATCAAAGACTCAATATTCTTGACAGTAGTAACACAGAAAATAAAATACCTAGAAATATATATTTAACTAAGGAGGTAAAGTACCTCTGCAGGGAGGACTACAAAACAGTGAGGAAGGAAATAGCAGAGAATGTAAACAGGTGGAAAACCACACCATTCTCATGAGTCAGTAGAATCAACATTGTTAAAATGTCTATACTACCCAAAGTGATCTACAGATTAAATGCATTCTCTAGGAAAATATCAGCATCATTTTTCATAGATCTAGAAAAAAATAATTCTACACTTTGTATGGAACCAGAGAAGATCCCACACAGCAAAAGCAATCTTAAGCAAAAAGAACAAATTGGAAGGCATCAATTTACCAGACTTCAAGCTATACTGTAAGGCTGTAGTAAGTAAAACAGCATGTTATTGGCACAAGAACAAAGACATAGAGCAATGGAACAGAACTGAGAACCCAGATATAAAACCATCCTCATATAGCCATCCAATATTTGACAAAACAGACAAAAACATATGCTGGGGAAAAGAATCCTTATTCAATACATGGTGCTGGGAAAACTGGATAGACACATGTAGAAGACTGAAACAGGATCCACACTTCTCACCTCTCAGAAAAATCAACACACAGTGGAGATCTGACTTAAACCTAAGGCATGAAACTATAATAATTATAGAAGAAATGGTTGGAAAAACTCTTATAGACATTGACCTTGGGAAAGAATTTACGAAGAAGACCCCAAAGGCAACCACAACCACAACAAAAATTACTTAATCAGACCTGATCAAATTAAAAGGCTTCTGCACAGTCAAGGAAACTATCATGAGAGCAAACAGACAACCTACAGAATGGGAGGAAATATTTGGATGCTACACATCTGATAAAGGACCGATAACTAGAATCGATATAGAAATCAAGACAATTAGCAAGAAAAAATCACACAACCCCATGAAAAAATGGGCAAAGGATATGAACAGAAATTTTTAACAGAAGATAGACTAATGATCAACATATATGTGAAAAAATGCTCAACATCTCTAATCATAAGGGAAATACAAATCAAAATCATAATGAGATATCACTTGACTCCAGTGAGAATGGCCTTTATCAAAAAGTCCCCAAACAATAAATGTTGGCGTTGATGCAGAAAGATAAGAACACTTTTACACTGTTGGTGGGACTGCAAACTAGTGTAACCTCTGTGTAAAGCAATATGGAGATACCTCAAAGAGCTACAAGTAGAACTACCATTTGATCCAGCAATTCCACTGCTGGGCATCTACCCAAAGGAAAAAAAGACATTATGTAAAAAAGTCATCTGCACTCAAATGTTTATAGCAGCACAATTCACAATTACAAAGATGTGGAAACAACCCAAGTGCCCATCAATACAGGACTGGATTAATAAAATGTGGTATATGTATACCATGGAGTTCTACTGAAAAACAAAAAACACTGGTGATATGGCACTTCTTGTATTTTCCTGGATAGAGGGAGCCCATTCTACTAAGTGAAGTATCCCAAGAATGTAAAAACAAGCACCACATGTACTCACCATTAAATTGGTATTAACTGATCAACACCTAAATGCACATACAGTAGAAACATTCATTGGGTGTTGGGCAGATGGTGGGGAGGAGGGGATAGGTATATATACACCTAATGGGTGTGGTGCACACAGTCTGGGGGATGGACATGCTTGAAGCTCTGACTGAGGTGGAGCAAAGGCAGCATATGTAACCTCAACATTTGTACCCCCGTCACATGCTAAAATAAGAAAAAGAAGAAGATAAAATTGCAATTGGTTCTGTGCAAAAACTGAGTCTAGGCTGGGGCTGGGGCTGGTGGGGGTGATGTTGCCTGTGTGGGAGAAGATACGGCCTTTCCAGCACAATCCACCCCTGGGCCACCTTCTTGGCAGCACGGCTTCTGGAGCCTGGCCCTCAGCTGGTGGACTGCAGGCCAGTGGCAGCTCAGTGGGGCTTGGTGGGGGAGCACCCTCCCTCGCTAGGGTGCTCTCTTCCCTCCAGCCTCGGCCCTCTGGGAGCAGAGCTGAGCTTCTACTCTTTGTTGCAAACAGTGGTGAAAACTCAGCCAGGCTCCGGTGGCCCTTGGCATTGGCTGACAGCAGGCCAAGCTCTTCTCAGGGTTCACGTCCTCCTAGCAGTGCCCCCTGGCTGTCTCTCCTGGGCCCTCTCAGCATGCTCCAGTCTCAAGTCCCCCAGCGATGGACCTCCCACTCCTATTTCTGAAAGCCCTTAGACAGCTGCTGCCCAGAGAAGAAACTCCCCTTCCTCTCCCCTTCTTGTTCCAGCTGCCAACCTGCATGATTCATTCCTCTCTCCCTGCCACATCAAAGGCAGTCAGGCCATTGCTTGTACCTAAGCAAATATTTATGTGTTCTGCATTTGTAGCAAGTGAGCATCCTCTCTCTGTCTGGGTTGTTCTTGTCAGTCCTCACGGCAAGCAGGGCCACTCTGCGGGTTCTCTAAGTACAAAGCAGGAAAGTTTTAAAGTACTGACTGTGGCCAGATTTATTCTGATCCTTTCATCATTACAACGAAGGCAACTTTAAAACACACAATCTAAACCCCACCCATCTCTGTGGATCCAAGAGCCTAAAAAAAAAAAATAAATAAAATAAATAAAAAAATAAAATAAAATAAAATAAACCCCACCCATGGAGGAAACATCCTGATAGTGTGGATTGCCTGGCACAGGCTTGGGCTGCCTGGACAGATCCTTCCCTGTCGGCTCCTGGAGCCCCTTGTCCCTGTAACTTAGCGCAGACCCAGCTGGACATTTAAGCTAAAGAAGGCAGGCAGGTAGCCCTGGCGGCCGGCCACAGCCGGGATGGTGGGGGAGCCCTGGCAGATCTGACAGCGAGTGGACTCCAGGCAGGCTGCTGCTGGGCGGTGAGACCTGAAGCTACCGAGAAGGCTCCCCCGAAGCTTCTCCACCTGGCCTGGCGCCCTGGAATATCTCCTTCTCTCAGGCGTTGTGGTGTCAGAAGAGCCACCACTGCACGTTGTAGCTTTTGCTGTCAATCTTACAGTTTTCTGTTTCCAGAAATTCCTGCACCACAAAGAGCAGCCCAAAAATAAAATAGGCAGGTGGGAATATAGGTACGTTACCAGGCTACAAGAAAGGCAAAAGGAAATTAAAAGGGCAAGGAGAATCATGGGCGAAGAGAGCTCTCAGCACTTTGCAGGCGGGTGAGTGGACAAGACAGTGCTTCCCCGCCAAAGCCAGCTGCCTCCTGCCTGTTCTCTGCCTGCCCCCCCATCCACCAGGCTTAAGGCACGGAAGTCGGCACTTGCAGTACACTTCTAAGCCTATAAAAACTGATGGCATTCATCTGTTCATTCTTCATTAAGAATCAAAGGTGTTGAAGGCCCATATTTGAAACTTGGAATGCAAATCGCTGGCTGTAATTTTCGACTCTTTGCTAATCACCTTTGTTTATCTCACCTTCTTTATTAGGGTCAATGCATGAAGTCGCATGAACTTCCAGGAAGGGAGAAATGTTAAGAGACTAATTAACACTGTAGCTGATGGTTATTTTCTATGAGTCATTTTTATTCATCAGCATACTTAAGAACTTTAAGAATGAATGAAGGATGCTAATGTTGGTTACGTACTAGGATCTAGATGCTTGTGTAGTTGTTCCTCAGTATCCATAGGGGGTTGATTCCAGGACCCCCAGGGATACCAAAATCCATGGATGCTCAAGTCCCTTATATAAAATGGCATAGTGTTTGCATATAACCTACACACATCCTCTATGTACTTTAAATCATCTCTAGGTTATTTATAATATCTAATACAATGTGAATGTTATATAAGTAGTTGTTGTTATGTTATTTTTTAGTGTTTTTTGCATATTTTCAACCTGAGGTTGGTTGAATCGAAGATGCAGACCCGCAGACAGGGAGGGCTAACAGTGTGACTACACAGAGTGAAAATTACAGAGAATGAGGGAAGGTGTCAATGCTTTAAACTTAACATCGGAATGTTAACTCCAATTGTTAAACAATCGTCCATTGCAATGATACATTTTCACTTATCACTGTTTGTCTCTTGTGATAAAACCATTTTTTCTCAAGCCAAACAAGTGCTTCAAATAGGAAACTGTCTACCAAAGCATTACAGCTCAAAGAGCAGAATTCAGTAGTTTGTAAATGCTTTGATGATAACTACAGGCCAGGAGACAAACCATTGCCTACCTGGAGAGGTTTGCATTACCTGTGGGTTTCCTTTCTTATCCTTAGTAGTACCACTTAGCAAAAGTCTCTCTCAATCAGACACGATGGTGGAATCCAGAACCCAGTGTCCGTTCAGGCTGAGCACGCCAGCACTTGGTGCTCACCAGGGCAAAGACTGCTGGAAACCAGGTGGATTCAGGTTCTCTCTACACCCTGCCTCCTTTCTCTAGCGCCCTGTAGCCCGAGGAAGAGGATGGAGGGGGGCCCTGGCTCTCCCAGGTTACATGTGTCCATTTTAGCAATTCTCTCCCCTCCCAAGAGGCTCACTGGAGCTGGGCCTTTGGGATCCCACAGCTGAGGCTCACATTGGGTTGAGGTCGAGTGACCTGTGGGGCCTTACAGTTATAGACTCCACCCACACATATGTAGAGGGCCAGAGGTGCAGCCTGGGAAACTGCATTTTAAAAGTTCTTCCCAGGAGATTCTGATAAACCAGCAATTCAACCCCTCGATGCCCTAGGAAGCCCTGCAGGTAGCTGTTGTAAGGGAGCGACCTGGACACACCCCTGGTCGCCTGGCCTAGCTGCGCCCCCACGCTGCAGCTGCCCTGGGCAGTCCGCCGCACCAGGGCTAGAGGAGCACTCCATGCCCCTGTGGGAGCCCTCCTGCCTTCCTGCTGCCCTCTCCCTTGGCACCCACCTCTCTATCCTCTTAACAGTCCCCTGCAAGGGGGAAGGGGAACACTCCAGAATGCTCCCTCTCCTGCCCTGGTCGTGCAGCAGGTCTTGCTCCCTCGCCCTTTCTGGAAACAGGAACTGCTACCCCTCTTCCCTTGTCTTCTCTTTGCCTTGAGCTGTTCACTGCTCCTTCATCGTGAAAAACACCTCACTTGGCCCCAGGGCCCTTCCTGCACCCCCAGGCCCTCCTCTCCTTTTCCTCCTTCAGCTTCTTCGCCATCTCTTTAAAGATGGTTGCATTTCCATTTTCCGTTCACCTGACACTGGTCTCCAGCCTCCCTGACCTCTCATCCCTCCAGTTCCCTGTCTTTTGCTATCAACATTTGAATGCCCTATGGACACTCAAAATCAAGTGGATATGAAGTCAAATTTATTGTATCTCACTCAAACCTCCATATTTCTGATTTCCCCCCGACCTCAACTATAGATTCGTTTACTCTTGAAGGTATTTTAGCCAAGCCCATGCCCCTTACAGGTGGGGACACTGAGGCCCAGAGAGGGGAAGTGACCTGCCAAGGAAAACTAATTTCTCAGGAAGAGAGGGGGGGAGCCCAGGCCACCACCTCTTAGACCTAGTGGCATTAAGCTGTTAGGGCTCCGGCCCCTGGGCTATGGGACACGCTCATCTTATGTGTTTTGCTTCCATTTGTTTGTGTCCAGCCTCACCATGAGAGCAAAGCTCCAGAGGGCAGCACCTGTCTCCTTTCCTCGGAAATGCCCTCGGTATAGAATGCATCAAAGGACTTTAGTCAAAGCTGAGAAGGGGACAAAGGGAAGGACATGGGGATGTTAGAGTCTCAAAAGGGCAAATAGTATTTCTTGCCAATCACAATTCCAAAGAGTACCTTGTTTTTTGGTCAAGCATCCGAGCCGTTTATTTATAGGCCCTTGTTCATCAGCACGTCCCATTTTCTCTTTATGGGACCTTGACACATGATACTGGTGAGATCACAAAGCTCTTCCCATCCCAGTCAGCTGGGGTCTCTGGATTATGCCAGTTTTTAATGAAATCTTCAACTGCTTCATTCTAGATATTTGTAAAGTTGTAATTCATTAAAAGAAAACTGAAGACTCTGTCTTCTCTTAGGGGAAAAAATGGGACTAAAATCCAGAAGTTCAAGAACAGCGAACAACATCAGAGCAGGCAAACAGAAATTCAGGGCACATCTATTTAACAGTAAAGACACTATTATTACCATTTATTGAGTATATACAATGCATAAGACATGGTGCTTGGTTTCCTTATCTGTATTACCTAATCGACTGCTCACATTCCCATGAGGTAGGTGACCTCACCACCACTATCTTTCAGATGAGAAAACTGAGGCTTCAAGAGATCGATGTCTTGCCCAAGACCACATGGCTGACGTCTGGGTTTCAGCTGTGAGGACTGACTCGGAGACCACCTGCTCAGAAACAACGTTGGGTCTTCTCCCTGGGGACACTGGCTTCTCTCTGGGGGAGAGGTGGTTAGAGGAGAACCCTCCAAGCAAGATGACTAGCACTGTCATCATTGTGATGGACCTTGATTAAAATAAGAATGGAAAAGCAGTGTACAAACTGGTAAGCTCTATGCACATACCAGATGTTAAGAACTGTCAACAAGTTAACCCTCTTCCGCTTTTATAAAAATTCCCTTATGTTACTGACATCTCAGTGGGCACTTTTCCTCCACAAATAAGCTATAGAGCTGGATTGGAACTCACAATAGCAGTTTTCTTCCTATCAGCCCTGCTTCCCTCAGCTTTTAGAGTTCCCCTGATCAGACATCTTGGTTATTGTGAGTTCATGGCAGCAATCTAGTGATGGTGTCTGGATATTTGGGTCATATTCTATGGGTTTTTGAAAGCCCTTTTTCTTATAAAAACAGTGATTTCTATGTCGCATCCAGAGAACTAGCAGAGAATAAACACTGAGTAACACGATAACATGGGCAACAGGAGTGTCTGAAAATGGCTTTGCCTCTCTGCCTTGTTCTGGGCTTTGAAGGCTCAGTGGACTGGTTCCCCCCAAGGAATTTTCTGTGCATCCCAAATAAACCCTGTGAAACAGTCTAGCATGGAGCAGAGGACTGCCCTGTAACGGGGATGCTTTGCTCAGGCACACGGCAGCAGCTGGGCCACAGCCCCGCCTGAGGCTCTTCCTCCTGGCACTGGGGACGCTGAGAAGGAGCAGCTGACCTAAGAACACATGGCCTGAGGACCGGTGGTCAGCCTGCATGTACACTGGCAGGAAAGCCACTGAGCTCTCTGACTAGTCCAATAGGGTTTTTGCTAGACTTTCTGGCTGGTAAGCGGCCTCTTGCTGTGGCTGGCTGGTGGCCGTCAAGGGCATGATCTTTGGGGGGGACAATGTCTCCAATAAACAGAGCAGGAATCATTAAATATTACCATAAAGCCAACTGTTCTCCCTTTCCTTTCTCTTCTCTTCCTGTCTTTCCTTCCTTCCTTCCTTTTCTTTTTAATCACAAATGCCAAGTTGGGATATGTTTTACTTAAGAGAGAAGGTAAGAGGCCCTACCCAGCAGTCACAGACAAAACATGGGTGAGATCTGCCCACATTCCCATTAGTGCTGGCCTCCGGAGCCTGAGGTAGATTCCCTGGCAGTTCAGTGACTCACGCAATGGGACGCTCACCACTTCCCTCCGGAATCTGGCCCACGTCTCTGCCATCTCCTCATTCAAATGTTTTTCCAGCTACTCAGCCACAAGCTCCTTTCCTGGTGGCACTGCAGCTTCCTGGGGGCACTGCACATTCCAAAATGTGCCACACATTTTGACTCATCTTGGACAGAGATGGTGGGAGGTAGGGGACTTGCAGGACATTCAGCTGGGAATGCTGTCATCTGCCACCTGCTGTCCTGGCTTGTCAGCTTGGGGCCAAGCAAAGTTGCCCCTTGTTGCTCTTCCAATTAGAGGTTTGCCTTCCCACACCCCATTCTTTAGACTGTCAACTTCTTGGGGTAGGAACTGGTGTCAGTCATCTCTGAGCACCTAGAGCTCAACAAACACGTTTATGAAGCAAACCCCCAGATTCTCCCAAGTTGCATTCTGAACGATCAGGGTCTCCTGAACAGGCTTTCCCTTAGTCTCCCACAATGGAGGGACCCTGGCCCCAGAACTGATGCTTTATTCTAAGGAAGAGAGGAACTGAGCCTATCTGTAATTTGACAATGTGGATTCAAGGCTTTTATGCCTGCTTTAGACAAGCTTTCCTCCTTGTCCCCAAAGATAAAGCCTTGAACTAGCTCCCCTTGGTGAAGGCAGGTCCCCCTTCCCCCAACAATTGTAGGCCATTTATTTATGCTTGCTGGACCTGGTCTCATAAGCCCCATTCACTCCGAGGTGAGAAAAGTCACAGTGCAGCCGGAGCCAGCACAATTACAAGGAAGCCTTCCCCTAATTAGTGGCCTATTCGCTAAAACAGCTCTTGCTCTCCTTATTGTAAAGTCCAGAGGACAGTAGCTTCTTATTGCCTAACCAATATGGTGGGTTCCCGGTCCCACCTATGCCCTGTCCCTCCCTGCTGCCCCTGCCCCACTGAAAGGGGAGGCTGTCACCTTGTTTAGTTACTAATTAAGAAAAGGCAAAGACTTTGATTGTCACTATTGTTTTTGCCCCTTCGCTGTACTGCATTCAAAGGCAATTTCTTTAGCAGAGTGGCCTCCTACTCCTTCAGGAAAGAGACTGGGCTTTTCAGAATGTGAAAGAAAGCAACTGGAGGGCATGCCGGCCCTGCCTCTAGGGCCGAGGGGCCAGCACTGGAGCGCGGCCCCTCCCGCGCGGACGCGGCGGCTCCTCTCACCGGCCTGGGCGCCCCGCACAGCTCGCCACGAGGCAACCCCTAACAGGACTTGGGCCCTCAAAGCAATGTTTAAAACTTCGGCTTGACCTTTTCAGGTGACTAACTCTTAGTAACTAAGGGCTGGTTGGTCGTTGCGCTTTTTTGTGCCTCAGTTTCATCATTAAAAGTCAGGAGAATGATTTCGCCCTACAGCCTCGGCAGAAGCGCTCAGCGAGCGCACTTCCCGCAGGCCCTCCCGGCCCCCAGGTCTGCGGGCGGCGCTGCGGGAGGGGCCGGGCTGGGAGCGCGGGAAGGCAGCTCCAGGGCACCTGTGGGGCTCCGAGGAGGAGCAGCCGCAGGGAAGAGCTCCACACAGGGAGACGCGACGGAAGCGCCGCCCGGGTGGCCATCTGCCCCCGCGGGACAGCCGGGCCGGGCGGCCGGGGGCAGGTGCGAGGCCGCGGGCCCAGCGCCCGGGGGAGCCCGGGGGAGCCCTGGGGAGCTGGCGGCGGGCGGCGGGCGGCGGGCGGCGCGGGGCGGGGCGGCGACCGGTCCACTCTCGGCCCCGCAGCCAACTTGGGCCGCAACTTCCTCGGGTCTCGCGCCCGCGAATCGCGCGCAGCACAGCGACGGCCGACGGCGCGCGCGGCCCCAGGGCCTCCCTCGGGCTGCGCGGGGCTCGGCGCCCCGACGTCCGCCGGCCGAGCTCGGGGACCGGGCGGAGCAGGTAGCCTTCCGGGCGGCAGAGGGAGCGCGGACTCCGGGAGCCAGGACTGCCCGGGCCGGCGCGCGCGGGCTCGGGGCGCCCAGCGTCGGGGGCGGCGGACGCTTTGGCGGGACCCGGGACGGAGCGCGCCCGCCGCCCAGCCGCGGGTGGGGACTCCGGTGCGGCGGCCCGCGCGCTGAGAGGAGCAGGCAGCGCCCGCTCGGGCTCCGGCGGCGCCCGGGAGACCCAGCGCGGCGCCCGGGAGACCCAGCGCGGCGCCCGGGAGACCGGGCCGCGCCGCAGCCGCGGGCCTGACCAGGCGGGCCGTGCAGGTAAGCCAGAAGGGTGGGCAGTTAAAGGCTTCTACAAAGAAAGTATTTAAGTATCTCAGGGATACTTACCTGCAAGAGAGATTTCCAATAGGCTCTTCCTTCAGGTCTTTGCTCAAATGTCACCTTTCCTGACCCAGTCTACTTAAAATGACAACACATTCCCTTTTCCTTGCTTCATTTTCTCCATCTTTATCACTGTACTTAATTACCATATTTATCATCATGGTTGATTATTATTATCTGTCTTCCCCTTTAGAAGGTGTGTGACTTGGGGAAGGCAGGCATTTCCTGTTTGCTCTCACGCTGGTGAATGATGGTTGAAAATGGTTCTGATTGGCAGGGTGGGTGGCCACGCCTGTAATCCTAGCATCTGGGAGGCCTGGAGGGGAGGAGATGCTCAAGTCAGGAGTTCAAACCAGCCTGAGCAAGAGCAGACCCGTCTCTACTAAAAATAGAAAGAAATAATGGCCAACTAAAAATATATAGAAAATTAGCGA